TCATTAACTACTTTGTGGCTGGATGTCTGGATCATTTCCAAAATTATTGTGAATATTTTTATAGATATATTATTGAATACTTGTGAACATAGCAAGGATTAGTGAGTTAAAGTGCTTGCAAATTTTAAGTGTTGACAAGACTCAAATTACCTTCAAATAGTTACGCTGATATTTTTATTCCTATTGTTGGTGGTTTGATAAAATGACATAAAGTGTAATCTCCTATCAAAATTTATTTATTTAATTTTGATGGTCTTTTTTGATGATTTTTAGAATCAGTCATCACGAACCTCCCCAAATCCTTTTAGAAATTGATTGTACTTGCATTATAGATATCCATTTACTTAGGATAGTGTGGAAAATTATATTTTTAGTATTTTGGTTATCTCACAAAAGGAATATGATATGTCTTTTTACTTCTGTCATGTGGTTATATCATTTAGGAAGGTTTTATAGTTTTCTGTCATAATGGTCTTATAGTTTTTCAATTTATTTTTCAATGTACAAGATCTAGATATAGATCTTACTAGGTCTTCTATCCTTGTAATTTTTTTCTAGATATATTCCAGATGTACTTTTATAGTTTTTGCCTTTATGAATTGGGTCATTTGCTCCTACTTTTCCTATAAAGTTACTGAAAGTGTAGGTAATAGGAAGAATAATTTTATATACAATATCTAGTTGTTTTATTCATATCTCTTGATTTCATTCAAATTTCCCAGTAATTATTTTTGCATTAAATTTATTTATTATATCATTTCTGGTTTTATTATGTTGACCAGAAGTTTTAGAACATATTCCCAATATTGAAATAATGGTAACTGAATCTTTGTCTATTTTTAATTTTAATGAGAATGTCTCTATTGTTTTATTATTTTTTATTTATTATTTTTAAATTATTGGTGGACACAGTGTCTTTATTATTTTACTTTATGTGGTGCTGAAAATTTAATCCAGTGCCTCATTCATGCTAGATGAGCATTGTACCTCTGAGCCACAACCCCAGCCCTCTGTTGTTTTATTATTAAGTATAAGGGACAGATAGTATAGGTTTCTTCTAGATTACCTTTATAACTTTAAAAACATTTTGTCAAATTTGTGGTGTGGGGTTTTCTTTCAAATTGATTGGTATTATATTCTACGGGTTTTAATACATCTACCCAGCATCCATCTATCTATCTATCTATCTATCTATCTATCTATCTATCTATCTATCTATCTATCCATCTCTCTCTCTCTCTCTCTCTCTC